CATAAAAGGAATGATTCTCATGAAAAAATTTCACCAAATGGCGCAGCATTTGATGTCTATAGATGATTGGCACCATACTGGTACAAAAGGATTTGAAGATGCTAAAATCATGTCTGATGAAGTATCAAAATTAACTGGAAAACCATCTAGTACATTGGTGATGTCAACAGGTGTTATTGGCCAAAATTTACCAATTGATAAAATCACAAAAGGAATCCATCAAGTTTATCAACAAGCAACTACTGAAACTCATGATGGTTGGATGGAGGCAGCTGAAATCTTTCATGACAACTGATACTTTTCCCAAATTAAGGTCTGGTCAATTTACATTGCCCTCATCTGGTTTGAAATATAATATGGCAGGAATCTGCAAAGGTGCTGGTATGATTCATCCTAATATGGCAACTCTTTTGGCAACTATTCTAACTGACTTGGCGCTTATCACGACTTTATATAGATCGACCCGACTTATCGAATCTTTTTAAAAAGTAAAAATAAGGGGAGAAACTTTTTGGCCGAGTTAGGCCAAAACCGACTTATCGAGTTTACATATGTAATGCTAGTAATTTCGTTATAAACGGATTTTAAATTCTAAAACCCGTTATTATTATTATTATTATTATTATTATTATTATTATAACGAGGTTTGATTGTAGTATGTTGCGTTATTTGCCAACTATCTATAGTAATAGATAAAAGGATTCTTTCTTATAATAATTACATCTAACGAAAAATTGAAACTTGCTTAAGTGTTAGTATTCACACGTGTACACCTTAATTAATTAATTAATTCCTTTATAGATCTTTTTTCAAGCTTAGTTTGAAATACAATTTAAATTTTATTACAATATCACAATCTTAAAATAAAATAAGCAAAGATAACTTTTTGACTCTTGTATAAAACCAATAAACATTGGCTAACTTATATGAATAATCGTCCGAACAATATTAATATAATAATAAACATAATGTAGCAATAGTAATAATGGAATATTATACCTAAATGTTAGAGCTTCGTTAGGAATTTGATGGAACTAAAGCATGGAGCTTTGAACTAACATTCGTTTGAATATTCCTTTAAAAGTTCTATGAATGTCAACAAGCATCAAACGGATGGTCATTCAAAAAAGACGAGCACAGCAAACAAAGAACCATAGGTTCCGTTTGCTTGCCAAGAGTATGCGTCTTCTTTCTCCACATAGTCACCAAATGCAAGTACATGATTTTGAAGAAAGACAAAAATGTGAATGGGCTTAATCAAAAAAAATACATATTTGCCAAAAGTTTAGAATAAAATAATAAAAAATAACATTATTAATTAATTAAGATAAAATTTTTTGCTTGATGGACATCAAAACATCTAAAGTTTCTGTGTGGAAAGTGAAGATGAAAAAGGGAAATCTCATATATTATTTTAATTTAAGTTGGGAAATAATCATTAATAAAAAGATTAAAGTATTAACTGCATATATCCTTTGCCATAATTATTTAAGGCTATAAAAATACCACCATTCAAAACGTTATTGGAGGACAAGAAACTCGATTGAACTTTCTTTTGTTTTCCATAAAAATTCTAGAATTTTTATTAGAATCCTTCAACTGGATTTAGCCTCACAAAACTTACTAAGACTTTTTGGGTAAGGATTATTGGTATTAATTAGTATTAGTATTAGGAGTCGGAAATTTACTGATCTTCACATTAATAAAGTATTTTCTAAAAATAAAAATAAAAAGTTCTTGGATTGTCTATATATAGAAGTAATTTCTTTCTAGGTTTATCATTTCAATTCGTTGTCATACGAAATAACAAAAAATATTCAAACAAAAAAAACCAAAAATGCCACCCATTACAGATAAAGATGTTATTGTTAGATTGACACCTGATGATGAACAGAGAATAACTTTAATAATAATAGGAGTATACGCGGTTGTAATCATAATTTTATGGAAAATGCCAATCTTAAATTATATCATATATCCATTCAAAGTAACTTGTTTAATTATCTTTCTTTGAGAGAATTGAGAATTATAAAATTTTATTCTGTATTTAACGCAATAATTATTAATTTTAAAAAAATATAGCTATTGACTGTTGGTCTACATGAGTTCTCTCATGCTGCTGCCGGTTGTTGTACAGGCGCAAAAATTGAAGCAATTGAAATTGAACCCAACGAAGGAGGTGTTACAAGAATGGTAAATAATATAATAATTTGAGTTTGGGATCAGGAGGAAATCCAAGAATAACGTTTTGTTAATTAATATTTCCTTGTATATATATATGCTTGTGTTTATAGAGGGGTGGCATACAATGTTGTACCTTGCCAGCTGGTAAGAGAATTAAGCTTTTATTGTTATGCAAGTAATATTATGATGATGATGATGATAATATTAAAGTTTCCAATTCCAATAATATATATAGGATATCTTGGGTCATCACTTATAGGAGCGTTATTAATTTTTTGTGGATTTGATCCGTTGGCTTCAAAGGTTGCGTCAGTTGCTCTTGGTGTTTTGCTAATAATAGTATTATTTTGGGCAAGAAACTGGTTGACGAGAATATTGACTATAGTCTTCGTTGGAATTATTGTTGGATTATGGTTTACTCCAGATGGTGTGGGATTAAAATATTTCGTATTATTTGTTGGGTAAGAAATTTTCCTGAAAATATAAAATTTTTTTTCCTAAAAGAAAATATTCTAAATTTTTAAAAATTTTTTTTTAGCGTAATGTCATGTTTATATTCTGTATGGGATATTATGGATGATTTAGGTATGTAATTTTTGATCAATGATTTATAATTTTCTACTATATTAATACACATATAAATATATCATTATTACAGTTTTTCGTAAAGTAAATGAATCTGATGCATCTAAATTTGCCAAACAATGTCGTTGTTGTCCAGCACAAGTTTGGGGATTTATATGGTTTTTGATTAGTCTTGTCTTTTTAGCACTTGGTGTGCTTGGAGGACTTATAGCATTCAAAAGTCAAACAAATGAATCTAGTTAATTGAGCTTATTATAAATAACAATTAAAAATTTTGGATTGAAAAAAATTATTTAAACACTTACATCTTAAAATATTATTTTTTTACACCTTTTTACTCTTTGATCCTTGGATTAGTTTAATTGTATTTTTTAACATTTCATCAATATTATCAAAACTTGATGTTTTTGTTATTGATTCAACAATTCCCAAGGAATCTTTCATATCAGAATTAGATATTTCAACATCTTTTGTTGATGAAATTAAAGATTTCTTATAACATAATATATTTAATTAATATTTGTAATAATAATAATTTAATAATAATAGAGTTTATAATATTTATGATTATTTACTTTATCTTCAATGATTTGTGGTACTCGTCTTCTAATATGTTCGCTCATATGATATAATCCAATGGATGAATCATTATATAAATGATACAAGTAATGCTCGACTTCTGCACTTGCTATTTTATCATTATAATTTAAAAAAATATTAAGATCTTAAATTGTGAAAATAATTCTAATAATTCTAATGAATGAATTAGCCAACCTCGTTTTGCTTTTTCTTTTAAATTTGCTTGTTGAGCTTGTTGATCTCCAGTGTAAACACTCCCACTAGTACCAACACTAATATTATCTTTCATTCCACCGCCAACGCTTGCCATACTAGTTAAATAATTATTAAAACCAACACCAACAGAAGGAGAGGGAGCTTTATTCGTGTTGAAAGTTAATGAATCAGTAATAGAATTACTTAAAGAACCAAGTGAAGAAGGTGTCCAAGTTGTCATAGAGGCAGCAGCCGCTGATGGCATATTTATAATTTGCTCGGTTAATATTGAAGAAAAATTGGAAAATGTATCAGTATAATGATCGTTATTTGCTGATTTGAAATCTTCTTGGTTGGTTGTTAATTCATTTATACTAAAAGAAGTTTGTTGTTCAGGTGGCAAAGATGAAAAGAGTTTTGAGATATTTGATGACGATGGCGGTGACAATGATAATGGTGTCGTCGTCATGATGTATAGTGGTGAAACCATATTTTTGCCAATGCAGATCATTTAAAAAATTTTGAAATATCATGTGATCCGTATGCAATGTGTGCGTTAGCTTTGCTTTGTTGGCTTCTTTTTATTAATAAAAAGGAAATAAATAATAATAATGACCATTCCATGGAAAAAACATTGTTACACGAAATTTATTCGGTCTCAATTTTGTGCTAAAAGTTAATAATAAAAATTATCGGTATTTAGTATTTTGAAGCTGACCAATTGTTATTATAACAATAAGCAATTAATTGATTGTATATAATTAATGTGATATTTATTTGATGAATAAAATTTTTAAAATAACATTTATAATTAAAAAAGATCATCATAAAAATTCTATAAATTCAATTACACAAAGCAATTTTCTTTCTTTTTTTTTTTTTTTCCTAAACATTTACAATTTTATATTAATAAAACAACAAAAATGAATATTATTACATCGTTTAATGTATCTTTAAATGGAATATTAAGTGAAATATTAAGTGAATTAGCGGATGAGTCGAATTACTATGATGATTCATTAAGTGAAATTCGTCAATCAAATAAAATGATAAGGTCATTAAAACAAATAATTGATACTTTAAATATAATTGAAGCCTGCAACAATAGTAAAGATGGTTGTAAGGAAAGGCTCTTAAAAAAGAAAGAATACAAAACTTATAAAATGTTAATAGACGAATTAGCAGAAGTTTCAGCCGATAAACTAAATGAAAGATTAATTGAATTAGATGATAAATTAAATCACAAAGTTGTATGTCATAAATGTCGAAAGGAAAAAGTTACAAAGTTATCTGAAGAATGTGGGGATGAAGAATTGGCTGAATTTCTTTATAAATGTAGATTAAATACAGATTTTAAAGATTATATGAAATGGATTCCGTATGATGAATTTGGAGAAATAAACTATTTGGCTAGAGGTGGATTTGGTGAAGTTTATAAAGCGAAATGGTTTGATTCCCATTCTAACGGGAGAATGGTTGTATTAAAAAAATTATATAATTCAAATAATAAAATTCTAGATATTTTACAAGAGGTAATAAATAAATTTATTAATTGGTTGAATATTATTATCATTATCATCATCATCATCATCATTATTAATTTTATTAAATATTAATTTCTATTTATTATTAGTTGGAAGCGCACAATATAATCGATTTTGTTAATAAATGTTATGGAATTACAAAAGACCCAAGCACAACCGATTATTTACTAGTATTTAGTTATGCTCAAGGTGGAGATTTACATAATTA